TTGTTCATTTGTAAACAGATTAATGAGAACACATTAATTATGCAAGACCCTATACTAGCAGGTCACACATCCTGGCACTTTCAAAGAATTCTGTAATATGAGGTTATTACAAGAATAACACAAAGTATGCACAAAGACAGTACAGCTGGAGTATCGACCGTTACGCAACAGAGGTTGACGTGAAAGCAGCCCGTCTGAGTTATTTTTATACATCCTATATTCCTCCCAAGGATACATCATGAGAATGCTGAAATCCCAAAACTTGTGTGGAGTCCGGTCAAACTTTACGCCAGCGGTTGCCATGTTTGTTTTTATTATTATAGGAAGCTTACTTATCTTACCAACTAGAATGACGGATGCCGCGGCAGCGGCAATAACCCAACCTAGAAACTCGGACAGGAAAAAGCAAACGATCCAGGCAGAGCAGCTAAACTCCATCCCCATCGATGCGGAGAAGAAAGAAGAGTGATTATCCAGCAGTAATGGCGCCGCCATATGGCCTTGGTCACATGGTTTGTGATGCAAGGGAAAAAAATCATGAGTCATGGGTCTTCCCCTGACCTAGATTCTATCTCTCAGTCATTTGCAGAATCGCTGATTAATGCCTACAGTTCAAAATAGTCATTTTGACTGACTGGAGTCTATGGTAGGTAATTGAACGTAGTGAATTTCCTAATATGGTAGGATGCAAATATCCAACGCCATGGTGTGACTTATAGTCGCAGATATAAATAATACCAATTATTATACATCTGTCACCGTAACGCTATAATGTTACAGAGTGCTGTAATTTTGCGGTATTTTACAGGGTATATCATCCTACCATATTAGGAAATGCAAATTCCAAATATGGAACAATTATGTGCACGTAAGCGTCCTCTAATAATAAAAACAAACATGGCTGCCACAAGGGTTTGACAGAACTCCACACAAAGAAGTTCGCTGATTCTGTTCTAAACTTTTTGGATTTCAGCATTCCCATGATGCATCGTTGGAAGGAAAAGATGTATAATAATAAGGTTATTACGAGGATACCTCAAAGTATGCACTCAGACTATACGCCATCGCATAGACTGACATGGAGCAAATATTATATCACAATTTTTGTCAAACTATTTTTTGAACTGCTTTAACAGGCATTTGGTGAAAATTCACTTTCACCAACACGCCCCACCCACTGACACACAATACCATAACACTCACACACCAGAAAATACCAGGGTGTTTTTGTTAGGGGGTCACATTAAATCCTATTGTTATGTTCAAATTCAAATTCAAAAATAATGGTGATGAGTTATCCAGGTCAGATCCTTATGGTTTTAGTCTCTCATGATAAGCTGTAATGTATAAAGTCATAAGACTTTCAATAATATATTGAAGACAAAATAACTGTTTCTGAAAAGCATAATATAGAAACAGAAACATTATGATATTCCATGAAAATGTCAGAGCATTATTACACACATCATTGTCATGTAAAAAAAAACTGAAACCCAAATTATTAAAGATAATCATATCATATTTAAGAATAATCAATAAATCATTCAAGCAAGTGCAGAAATCTTTTAGATTGATAAAATTTATATTTTGGGTAGAGAATTATTACTAGAATTATAGTAGAGAACAATTAGCAAGATGGATTGCAACTGCTCTAGTTTGCTTTGTTCTAAACTTGATAGCACTACTAATGTGTGGGATTTACTATTCCATAGGAGTGATCAACATAATTAACAAGTATAGCGTACATATTCTTCATTTCATTTGTAACTTTTTGTATAGTAACGAAGCACATATTTTCTAAAACCTGATTTTTACCCTTGTCTAGTACAATAATGACAGACTAGTGCCATCATATCTAGATTAGTGTTTTGCGAAGTTGCACGTAATCTTGCTTACTGACTGACTGAATAATTTTTGGAACTGATATAAATTGGCAATAGAAAAAATTTATTATTCAGGTATTGGAATGCAAATTGGATTATATTTCTGAGGTAATTAACAGCTGAATGTTTTCTCATTTAGGATACCGTTGCTAGTACGACAACGTGTGCTAGTTTATATGCTGTCTTCTATTCTATTTTAATTATATTTTGCACAGCAAATTTGATTCTCACACAATTATGTTCAGTTCAACATAGATTTATGATCATATTACTGTATTAGAAGCTGTATGGCTTCTATTTGGGATGGAATACTGATTTTACAGATTCAAGAACATTAACAAAGTATGCATAAATATATAGTGACATATATGCTCTCACCTGCACATTGTCTGACTGTGAACTGTTTCTGTAAATGTTTCTTAGGGTCCCCTCACCCATGACTCTAATCCTAACCCTGTTCCTCAAGTGACCCTCCCCATTTTAATTGTATGTGCCCTATTTTCAAGACATATGGTAGTTATCTGGAAGGACATATACATTACATTAGGGTGAGAGTGTTAGGATTAGGGTTCAGGTTTGCTTTGGGGTGGGGGTCTCAAACATTTACGTCTTTTAGTAAATCAATTTCATCGAAATACACAGGGAACAACAACAACTGAAACAATTTTATTTGACAAAATAGCAAACCACAATACAGAATATGACAATAGTCTAACATTTACATATCAAAATAATAATACATATCATAATACCATAGTCTGCACTACAATAATAATAAATTAGTTAAACCATGGTTAAACAAACATGTACTGAAACACATAAAAACTAATTGTACAATATATAAATAAGTATTGAACAGATGAAACACCCTCTTTAAACTTACCTGTGGCCCAAGTCGCTCATGCACAGGTCTTCTTTCGGGCGAAACTGACTTTCTCTGCATGACTTGACTCTGACCTGGACTAATAACAGTGCCTTGCGGAAGAGGTTTTGCAGGCTCGGTATCATGGATAGGTGGAGGTGTTTGAAATTTCTGATCAGAGGAATCACTTGGAGGGCCGCCCCGTCCTCTGCCCCTACCTCTACCTCTGCCCCTTCCCCTGGCCCTCCCACGATAACCTGGACGGTCGCCAGGGGAACGGAAAGCAGGAACGAAGCCGGGAGGATCATCGTCACGTTTCTTCTCACGACTTAGTCCGCGATCTCGATTACGGTCCTTCTCTTCGCGACCGCGTCCACTACGATCTTTGTCTCCATATCTGTGACTACCAGATGAAGAGTCTTTGTGATCACGATAATCTTTTTTGTAAGAATCTTTTCGATGGTCACGATCAGAAGATCTGGATCGAGACCTTGATCGGCGGCGTGAATCTGAGCTGTGGTGTTCGGATTTGTATTTTTCCCGAGCAAATTCATCAAAGGGTTTTTGATATGGTTTTCCTCTTCCTCGGTAGAACCCTCCGCGAAATGTACCGCGCCCTCTTCCCCCTTGCCCGACCCCTACCTCTTGCCCTTATGTCTTGTGACATTTTGGAGTGAGTTAAAGTGCCAAATACGAGGAGGAATTCAACATAATTTTGACAATCAAAACCAACACCACGCTTTGAAAACAAGATGGCTGCTAATTTTGGTGCATTGACGTAAAAGAGTATATTTAAAAGAAGACAAATATAAAAGGTGTAAATTTATCCTTCTCACGAGAAAATGTCAATAAAATCTGCTAATTATTAATTGCCAAGCTGTATTTATTATACAATTCCACAAGTTATTTTTTATTGGACTCTATTAAAATATACACATGGTGCCGTAAACAAGTAAGTGAAACTTAACAGCTGACTAACAAAAAATAGCAAACATCGAAAATTCGCAGAAGATTTATCAGGAAATGATTGTGAATGGTCGATATGAATTACTCCACATATTGAACGAGATAAGCATGGCACAGAAAGAGGGGAATGCATAATAACAGTGCAGGTAATATATGGTTCATCTGTATGAAAACAAACGAGACCACAGATGTATCTTGCTGAAGTTCAATTTTTATTCCACGTTGTCTTTACACATGCACTATTGATGCAGATCATCTATGAACTGGCTATTTTATGTATAGTTGTCAGGGTTATATACAAACAGCAAGACATCTGGAATACTTGGTAGATTTATGCGCCAGTTAGATGTGTGTGAGGGGTGGTGGTGTTGTTAAGCTAGAATATAATAATAATTTTATAATTTTTCATTTAATATCCTTTATATAGCTGTATGGATATGGGAAATCAACAAAATCAACCCTCCTATGCAGACAAAATTTGAACGATTTTACACCACAGCACACAAGTTTCTATTATAAGGGTGAAACTTAAAAGTCTATTATGCTGATCTGATTCCAAATACTATATTGG